GAAACTTCTATATCTGAAGGTCAGGATTTTCCTTTGAGGTTTTCTGTACACCTAGCTAAAGAGGAAGGCATGGAGAGATGTTGCCTGAGCTACTGGCTTCCCCAAAACCAGCAGACTAAAGAGGAGGTGACAAGAAGAGAAGCTACATGATGTTCTTTCTGTTTAATATTCTTGCTACTGTTATAGAACATCAGGGTTGGAAGGGACCTCAGGAAGTCATCTAGTCCAACCCCCTGCTCAAAGCAGGACTAATCCACCAACAGATTTTTGTCCCAGAGTCCCTAAATGGCCCCCTCAAGGATTGAACTCACAACCCTGGGTTTAGCAGGCCAATGCTCAAACCACTGAGCTATCCCTCCCCCCGCACTGAGCTATCCCTCCCCCCCATGTGTATGACATAGATAGTTCCTCTCTTTCTTAGCTGAATTAAATAAAGTATGTCAGTGCAGGCGTGGGTCTTCTATGTGTCTGCATAAAAAGGCAAATAACAAGTATGAAATAATAGGTCTTGTGTCTTTATAAATGAGCTCAGAGGTTGTGATTCTTTGTTTTTGGCTTAGTCCTAACATCTCCTGATTGGATTGTTTCAAGGTTTGAGATGCTCCAAATACTGGTCTTGAACATATTAAAATTTGGAGCATTCGGCCAGGGCCAGCTCCAGGCACCAGCTAAGGAGGCAGGTGCTTGGGGGTGGGGTGGGGGGCAATACCAAGAGGCGGCACTCCGGCCGCTATTGGGGCGGCACGTCCGGGTCTTCGGCGGCAATTCAGCGGCGGGTCCCTCTCGGAGCGAAGGACCTGCCGCTGAATTGCCGCCAAAGAGTGGAGCAGCGCAATCGCACTGCCACGGTGTGTTTTTGTTTGTTTGTTTGTTTTATTTTTGTTTTGTTGTTTTTGCTGCTTGGGGCAGCAGAAAACCTGGAGCTGGCCCTGCATTTGGCTTAAGGCATAAAGCAGAGTACAACAATTTAATAGAGAGGCATCATTAGGGATTGCTAAGATGCAAGTGGACACCAAGAAAAACTTACACAAAGGAATGCCAAAAGGGAGGAAGAAATCAGAGTTGATGGGGAAATAGTTACGGGAGTCTTAAGGCTGATGAGGAGCAGCAGGCAGGGCAGATGGCTGAGAGATGCAAAGCAGAAGGAGAGTATATATCCCTGGGATAGGCACTCACAATAACTGGGGCCCAAATTCTCCTCTTAACTACTAAAGTGCTTAACCACACCCCATACAAACTGCCAAACCTTCCTTCACTTCCAATAACCAATGGAAAGTGTCTTTACTCAGCATCCCCTCACAGATACACCACGCCTCATGACATCTTTTTTCCCTTTGGTGTAGCATTTGAAAATATTAAACAAAAATTGGTCATCTTGATTACCTTTGATTTACATAGCTCAAAGACAGTGGTCTGTGAATGAGATACTGGGCTAGATGGACCATTGGCTGGACCTTTCTCTCATGTAAATATCAATATAATTCAGGCATCCAACATGGAGCAAAAATATGTCCTTACTTCCTTAGTTCTTAGGCTGACTGACCATATTCAGACAGAGAAAGGGCTTTCATTGTCTCTTACAGATCCATCTAGCTTTTCACTTTCTTCTGAAGAAATGTTATTGAATCTATTTTAGGGAGTGTAATGCTCTGTAACTCGGGGGAACACACAGCACCCCCATGTTCATCCTTGTAAAATTGTAGGGTATCCAATGCAAAGTTTGTCATGCCGGGTATCTTCGGAAGGTTTGTGATGCCCTGAGCATTGTTGTTACAATAATGTTATAGTTATGTTATGAGGCTGAAAATGTATCCTAATGGCTTAAAATAAACCCAGGCAAAAACTCTCCAAGAGCAGAGAGGCAGTTCACACCTCATCAGGGCATGTATGGGACAAACCCTGCACAACAGTACAGGAACAAAGGACGCTGGCCTAGGCAGCAACAAAAGAATCTGTTGGACTCTCCAGGGAGTCACCCCCCTTCCTTTGGTCAGTTTGGAACTGCAATGAGGTAATGCTCACCTGACTCTGAAGGAGGGAGGGGCAAAGCCAAGAGGGAAGAAAGGACATGATAAAAGGGAGAGACATTTGCGCTGCTCTTCCTTTCTCTTCCACCTACATCTACAGACACCACACCAAGCGACTGAAGCACTGATCAAAGGAGACCCTGGCTGAAGAGCAGCCAGCCAGCCTGTGGTGAGAAGCATCTAAGTTTGTAAAGGCATTGAAAGTGTTAAGATCAGCTTAGAATGTGTTTTGTTTTTAGTTCATTTGACCAAATCTGACTTGTTGTTTTGACTTGTAATCACTTAATCTATCTTTATAGTTAATAAATTTGTTTATTTATTCTACCTGAAGTAGTGTGTCAGAGGCTCCCCCTGGGATAACAAACCTGGTACATATAAATTTTTGTTAAATTGATAAACTCATAAGCTTGCAGCGTCCAGTGGGCATAACTGGGCACTGCAAGATGGAGGTTCCTAGGGTTGTGTCTGGGACTCAAGATGTTGAGTAGTGTCATTCGGTTGCACAATCCAAGGAGCAGCTTTCATGCCCGAGGCTGTGCTTGAACAGCCCAGAAGTGGGGGTTCTCACAGCAGAGCAGGGTAAGGCTGGCTCCCAGAGTCAAGGATTGGAGTGACCTAGCAGATCACCAGTCCAGATAATACTAGAGGGGAATGTCACAGGGAGTGACTGTGTTAGCTAAGTAATTCCTTCTCTTCACTTCACAACTGAGGTACAATGCCATTTCACTAAAGAGTGAAACACTCCCATGGATCTCACGAGTTTCCCACCAATCTCATTGTGGAAACCTGAGAGTCCCTGTTCCTGTCTGATGGGAGCACTTTACTTTTCATTGTATGAGGTTGTAACTTATAGCCAAAAGGAACGTCACTCTGCCAGAGATGCTGTTTCTGTAGTTGCTCATGGAAAAATTTCTTTCCACTGTTAGACCTGTGTGATTCTAGCCTCTGTGGAAAAACTAATTGCAGCAATGATTGAAGGTTTATTATTACTTTAACAAAGCCCCTTTGTTTTATTACTCCATTGACACAAATACTATCTTGCAAAATGATGGACAACTCTGATTACTGAGTGAGAAGAAAATTTAGCACTCTGAGGCAGGGCCGGATTAACTTTTTGTAGGTCCAGCACCAAACATATTTGTGGGCCCCCATGGGGCAAGGTGCAGGGGGGCGGGATGGTCAGTCTCCAGAGTGAAGGGTTTGGGCAATGATGCACAGCGAGGTGGGAGGAGCTCTGCTCTGCGCAGCCCAGCAGGAGGGCACTGTTTACAAACCTGCAGCTGCCAGATGCACACTGGCCTGCCCAGCCCTATGCTGCCAGCATGCCCCTTTCCCTTGAGGGCGGGCCCCATCACACCGCTTCCCTGCCCCGTACCTCTCCCTTATGCCCAGTGCCCCCTCGCCCAGAGACCTCCACCACAGATCTCTATGCCCAGACCCCACCCCTCCCAGAGACCTCCCCTGCTGGCCTCCCACCACAACATCAAAGCACCCTGCACACCACACCGCTCGCCCAGCACCCCCCGCCCATAGACCTCCCCACTGCCCACCACCTTCCTCATAGTTCCACCATCACAGCTGCACAACATTCCATATTCCTGAGGGGATTCTGCACCAAAAATTAAAAAATTCTGCGCACAATATTTTAAAATTCTGCAAATTTTATTTGTCAATAATAAATGTGGAGGCTCTAACCTGGCAGTGGGGAGCACAGGCCACTGGTTGCATGGAGGTGGGAGATTACCCTGCAGCCTCCCCCCACCCTGAGACAGGGACTCAGCAGTGAGGCTACACCTGACCCTGACACAGTGCAAGGGCCATGCCTCCCCCAGAAACACTTTGGGGCCCTGTCCCCCTGTGCCAGGTGCACCAGGTGTGAGTGAGCAGGCTCAGCCGGGCAGCAGGATCCACATCCGAAGAACTTAGTGTGGGGGGGATCCAGGTGGGGGAGAGAAAGTTCTTGTAGTGCAATCTGGGTGCGGGCAGCTCAGTGGGAGATCTGGATTCACAGAAGCTCATTGGGGGTGCAGGGGCAATGAGACTGCAGGGGATCCAGGTAAAGGTGTTTGGGGCAGAGGGGTCTAGGTGCAGGGGAGGTGGGGTTCATTTGGGTGGGGGTCCAGGTGGTTGGGGCTCAGTGGGGAGGGTGTCGGGGGGGGGGCTAATCGAGGTGGTACAGATGCAAGGGAGGTGGGGCTTGTCAGGGTGAGGGTTCGATGGGCCTGCTTAAGAGGGGAGCCCCAGATTCTGCCAAGGGGATGCCGCATGCTGGGCTTCAGCTTCCCCCCTACTCCCGCTTTCCCCATCCCATGCCCCTTCCCACTGCCTTCTCATCCCACCCCCTTCCTTCCCTCCTGCCTCTTTCCCCCTGCCCCTGCTTCCCCAATCCCCTTCTCTTCCCCATCCCATGCCCTTCCCCACTGCTCCATCTCCTCCCCATCCCACCCCTTCCTTCCCCACTGCCTCTTACCCCCTGACCCCATCCCCTTCTCTTCCCTATCCCATGCCCCTTCTCCACTGCCCATCTCCTCCCCACCCACCCCCTTCATCCCCACTGCCTCTTTCCCCAGCCCCCGCTTCCCCTGCCCCCTTCTGTTCCCCAACTGACCTCACGGTGCGGGAGTGGGGCAAAGTATCCTATTCAATTTTTGCTTAAGGGAAAGAGATCAAAGCCCAATAGTTTCGCCCTACACAGGGCCGGCTCTAGCTTTTTTGTTGCCCCAAGCAGCAAAAAAAAGCGCCGCCCCCGGCCGAACCCCCCCCCAGAGCACCGCCCCCCCCGCTGAGCGCCGGACCCCCCCCCAGCGCCAAGCCCCATGCTGCCCCCCC